GCAAGACTGTCGGGCGAGCACTCATTAAGTTTTGTGTTGGTTTTTATTTTCGAAAGGTGAGAGTATAATAGCAAAGGTAGAGAGTGGGCAGAAGATGTCTGATGTTGCTGGGCAGTATGGCTTGAACAAATCTACAGTAGGGCACAGTTCAATCTTATCTAAGAAAGATACTGTATATCAAGAAGGCTCAAGCAGCTAAAGGAGTAACAAATATCACATCTGAGAAATAAAGAACATTGAAGAGCTCATAATGGAACCTGAAACATATCTGATAACAGAAGAACGCCAAGAACTCTTGAATGAAGAAATCAAGAAACTCAGCAAGATATGTTTTATTCTGAAAAAAGGATTAATACCGATATCTGCTATTAATTAAAGAACTTTTGGAGAAGTGGGGGATGTCAGATCAACAGTCTTAGTATGGCATACAAACCAGGTTGAGGTTAATAGTCTTGGGGATCTCTACAATTACAATGCTATTAATTCTGAAAATCCTGAAGAAGAGAGAAAAGCAATCGACATTAGACACATAATTTAACCCCCACAAACAAAAAAACATGACTAATAAAAATGCAAGTCTGTGTATATATGTATTTTTATTATTACATATAAATAAATGTAGTAAGAAAGTATGTACAGTCGACCCCCTATAACACGGTAGATATGTTCCGGTTTTTATGAAATCCATTTTCCTTAAATACATGAGCTAATCACAGCCTGGCATGTATGCAGTTTACGGACTACAACTGTTTGAAAGGTTTTCTTCCATAAAATTAATCGATTCTAGACTAATTTGACTTAACATTTCCAAAACACGTATAATTTTTTGGAAATAATACATATAAACTATGCTATAAACAAAAAATTGTTGGATTACTTACTGAGTGTGCACCGTTCGACGACGCCATTGCTTAAGCTTGTTTTCGTGGTGGAGCAAATGGCAGGCACATTTTCTGATAAGTTATTTTTCTGCGAAAAATTCGTTGAACTTTGGAGACATCATTAATAGAAATAATTTTTATGGCCGTTAAATAATAAATGGTTTTTAGTAGGTCTGCTGCTCATTTAAACTCAATGGTTTGTGCAATATCCGCTATTGGTCTAGATTCGACCAATCCTGTTGCGACATGAGTCGGTGATGACGTTTCACTGAATTATACGAGTCTCTTTTAGTGTGTTTATACGAATACAGTCGCAATTTTTTCGCTGTCATATAGGAATCCGAACTATATGAACCTGTTTTATAGGGGGGGATCTACTGTATTTTTTATTTTTTGGGGTCTCCAGAACAAATTAATCAAATTCCCATACAAACCTATGGTAAATTGATAATTGGTTAACGAAAAATTCAGATAGCGAACAAAGTCTTGGAACAGATTATGTTCATTAACCAATCACCCACTGTACTCCTATCAAACTTTTGTATTATGTAATGATAAATCACATTTACATACCTCAGGCTTCTTGACAGATTTGTTATCTAATTGAGGTGACAGTATAATTTTACGTGGCCTTCCACGTTTTCTTTTAACAGGCGCACTTACATTTTCACTATTATTTTTATCTTGATCATTTGATTGTTTATTGCAATTTTCTAATGGTTTTTTTGTTTCCAATAATGCTGGAAAATAAATATATATTTTACATAATATTACAATTATAAAATTTAAATTATTATAAAAAAATATATATTAATATCATTGATTTAAGAAATTACCAATATTTAAAAACAACTTTTATTTTATTTCTAAATATACAGAATTAAATTTACTAATGTTAAAAATAATTAATTAATTAATAAAATTAAAATAAACATTTACATTTGTGCCTTATTGTCATGAGTTGATAACTTAATCATTAGTAAATTTACAAATTTCACTAATTATTAAAAGTTATCAATATATAATAACATTTATCTGTAATCCAAATTCTCAAATAGTAATTAAATAACTACTCAATTCTAATCCCCAAAACGTTTTAATTAAATTATTATTTGGTAATTTTATTATGTCAGATTTATAAACTTTTGCACCAAATTTTGCACAGCAGCAAATATTTTCTTGAAACCAATAACAAATATTTTCTTGAAATTTTATTTTTTTTTGGAAATAAAACTATACAGTAGAAGCTTCATATTCACAGAGATTATATTCCATAAAATTTCTGAGAATGTGAAAACGACAAATACAGGAAAATAAAAACATGTTTTTCAAATAAAGAAATTTTGCTGTTAAATTTTCTAATCATTTTATAATGTACTGTACCTTGTGGTAGAATCATTTCTGATGAAATCATGAACAATCATAGCTGCTGAATTTCTTTCTTGTAAACAATCTAGTGCTTCAATTTTATCTTTAAAGACCTCAATTTCTTTGGTCTTCTTGATATTTTGCCAGTAGTCTTTTTTGTTTAGAAGTTACTGTTAATATNTAGATTTCTATTATAATTAACTAACTTTGTAAAATAATTTTTTAATAGTAAAATGGTAAAAAAAATCAGTTTAAATAGTTTTAGTTTTCTTCTAAATTGTCCTTTGATTTAATTTATTTTTGTAAATTAATACACAAAACACCCTTAAAATTTATCAAAACAAAAATTAAATTAACTAATTTTTTCAAGCATATTAAATGGTTATTCATCAGGCTATTTGAAAAATTTGAACAAACAAAAATTCAAACTACTATTTAAATGTAATGGAACATAAATACAATTAGTTGCAAATGTTATGCATTACATTAGTTGAGTTAAATTTCTGTTTTGCTAAATTTTAAAGGTGATTGGAGTGTTAACTGTCATTTCATCCAGTATTTCAGATATATATTTATTTCTGTAGCTGACAATGAACCAATAAGTTTAAAAGTATTTATATTTTAATAAAAATTTTGAATGCTTGCATTTTAAACTATGATTTTATCATTTTACTATTAACTATGTGGTTCAAATATCATAAATATATGAAACACACAAATAAAGAATGTGTGAATAAGAAACTTCTACTGTAGACTGCTAGAAGTTGCTGCGATTCTTTATTTAATTAATTATAAAGTTTTAATGATTTTAAGGTTTATTTAATAAATTTCTTAAATTTTTCTTTCTTATAATTTTTTTTGTTTAAAAAATGTTAAAAAAATAATTAGTATTTAAACAATATATAATACTCAATATTTTTTACTTGAATTCACTAACTTTCAGTAATGTGACAAAAAATTATAAAAAATAAATATCATATTTCCTTGATTCTGAGACACATCATTTTAAAATTAAATTTTAAGATCTTTTTTTAATGAAAGAGAAATTTTAACATAATTGACTTAATAAAGTTTTTTAAGTAACAGGTTAGTAAAACAATATAAAATGACACAAAATAGATAATATTTTATAACTTTATTTCCATGCTCTATTGTACATGTTAAAAGAAAAATTATTGCAAGCAACATAATGTCATCTTAAAGCCATTTTAAACATTAAAAAGGAATTTGAAATAAATATCTGTTACCAGCAGAACTTATGTTACATTAAGCAGAATGTTGGTACACAATGCACCAAATGATCTATTTGCAATGACTACTGATTGTTGTTTGCAGTTGGAAAGTAAGATACATTTCTATTTGTCTAAAATAGAAATGAGTTTTAAGAAAAAAATGTGTCTTTGAATTGAGGAACTATGTAAAAATATATCATTTTTAAATGTTTGATATATATTTGTTGTTTTATTTAAAAAGTAACAATGACAGCAGCAGTTCTTACCTATTTTTTTCCCATAGGGAACTGAATATCCTACTTTCAATTCCTCTCCTGCAATTATATCCCTTGTTGTACTAAAATAAATACTTTTGTTTAGTTGGTAGGCAATAAAATTTTTATCTTCTTCATCTTTAATTGATAAAAGACACATCCAATTGCATCTATTTTCATCAGTTGTATCAAGAATATTGAAATGACCATCTTTTGAAAATATCTGTTTTTAAAAGTTTTAAAATTAATTCTTATTTTTAAAATAATTTNTATTTATTTTTTCATTTCTCTAAAGCAGTGGTTGGCAACCTTTCTGACCTCACGGACCACTAAACTCACAATTTTGGATCCTGCGGACTACTATCATGAATTTTTTAAATGATACAAAATCTGCAGAATAATGATCATAAAAGTTCAGTTTTACTATATTAATATGAAACTTACATGTTTAATTATAACAAATTAATGCAAGCCTAAAGTTCATTGCTGCTTGTTTGAAATAAGTTTATGGATTCTTAGTGCTTTTCCACAAAGGACGACAATCGCACTTACAATATTGTTTATTTTTTATTACTTATTGATAATGGTCACTTTGTATTTGGTTTTAGATTTGAATAAAAACCCCCAATTAGTGAAAAAAGAACTAAGCATTTTGCATTTCTTTCGTAATACTTTGCGTAACCTTCAGTTGATCAATGTCCAAATTTCTCCACAGACCACCAGTTGCTGACCACTGCTCTAAAGAATAGAATAATTGTTGTAGTTATTACACCAACTATTCTATTTTTGATTTACTTCTGTTTAGACAGTATTTTTTATATTAAAAATCTCTTTGCTTAACATTAAGTCTCACAATTCATCTTCAGAGCAATTGTTTCTACTTTTAATATTTCAAATTTCTTTATCTTAATTCCATATTTCAAACTTAAATTTTCTTTTTGTTTGCTTATCTTGCACATTCTTTTTTATTTGTCTGTTATCAAGAATAAAGAAATGTTGCAGATGAATAAAACAAGAATACATGAGATAAACAAACAAAATTAAAATTTAAAATCAAAATATAAAATTAAGATTAAAGAATTAAAAATAATAATAATAATAAATAAATGTTAAATAAAAAATTAAATTTGAAATATTTAGAATAAAAATGATCTCTCTGAAGATTAACTGAAAGATTTGAATGCTAAGTGAAAACAAATTAAAATATTACCACAGCAAAAATGGGTTAAGATTATAAAATAATATAAAAAAATATGGTTAATTACCTGGACTTCTGGTAATTCTTTCTCCATATCTACATCAATTCCACTATCACCTTGTAATGAATGAACAGATTCCTGTTCCATTTCATTCGTTTCATTTTCTAAATTATCCTTTGGAGTATTATTTTCCATATTGTTAACAGTTTCTTTCTCATTATTTTCTGATGTTTCATTTTCACTTCTAAGTTCAGATTGTTTTTCATTAGGTTTTGAATTTTTAATGATTGTTTTTCTTTTCATAAAGTGTCTTTCTTTCAGTAATAATTTTTCTTCTGCTCTTTTCCTACCTCTTTTATTGCTTGTTGGCTTATAATGATTTTGTAAATGTCTGGCAAATTCTATACAGTCAAAAAATTCTGAAGTACATTGAGAACATGTCCACTTTTGTTGTTCTTTTGTAATTCCTAATTCTCTTGCACCCAAATTTTTAATATGTATATCATTAACATTTGTTTCTTCATTTGTAGTTTCCTGCAAAAGTTAAAAAAGTATTCATTTTAATTAATAAAAATTATTGAATGTGAATATTTTTTTAGTTGCTCCATTTTTTGTATGTAAAAATTCTAAAATAACATTTTTACTGATTTACTGATGAAGCTTCTACTTTATAATAAAGTTTGATTGTCTTTAGCTGTCCAACTCCAGCTTCTCACATTAAGATACTCACTCCTTCATTTTACATTTTATAATAATGCTTCATATAAACAATATTAGTTTTATGTATCAAATCACAAAAAAAAACATTTGACCAAGGATAAGGGAAGGCAGCATAGGCTAAGACGACGTTATGGACAACAAACAATAAAAAGTATTAAAAGTCAAATTTAAATTTTACAGAATTATTGAATACAGTATGCGCCATTATAATTATCTTAAAAATATTATCAAAAATCTAAGTTAAATAAAATTTTTCCACTATAATTTTTAAATGCAATTAAAACTTAAAAATCTTCATTAATATATAAATGGAATAGTAGACATTTTAAGAGAAAATATGCCACATTAAATCAACTTATAATTATTTATATTACTAGGAAACTAACATTGTATATGTATGTGTATATGCAATAGTGATATTTGAAATATTTAACAAAGGATTTGCTAACAGAAAATTTTTCCTTAACAATTTTTTTTCACTCAAATGGTGCATTAGCAACATTAGTGCAAAAACTGATGTTAAGATATCGATATAAATAAAAAAGATGCGTTTGCAAAATTAAATCAGTTAAAATTTAACATTGTTTATGCCAGAACTATATTTTTTTGATAAATAATAAAAAAAGTGTTCAAAATAATTTATTTTGTACATATTTTAATATTTTTCATTCAAAATATTTTATAAACATAAAAATTGGCATTTTTTTAATCAGAAAAAGTCATAGGAAAAGCAGGTTTAACTGCTTTCCTTATGACTTTTTCTCAAGAAAAAACTTTTCTAAATCATTTATTTTATCATTAGGTATTATTATAATAATAGACAGATGTCATCGTCTCTCAAAATACAATATCTTTTTTATTTCGCTGTTGATAGCCCGACACATGCTCCGCAGCCATCTTGTATTTTCTCGCGCGCGTGGGATTGTGGGATCTCTCTTATGACTGGATCTAGTTTCGAGAACTCTCTCGAGTCGATCGCGAGTGAACCTCGTTTTAGTCGAGATTGAAACGGTCGATGGTGGTTACATTAGGCGAACAGGGTATAATACCCCGTTCGCACCGAGCATTTCGATCTAGATTGTGACTAAGGTCGGAGAGAGAGTTCCGTGGTGCGAACGCTCTCGACCGTTTCAATCTCGACTGAAACGAGGCTAAATCGCGATCGACTGGAGAGAGTTCTTGAAACTAGATTCAGTCATAAGAGAGATCCCACAATCCCACGCGCGCGAGGAAATACAAGATGGCTGCTGAACACGTCCGGCTATTGACAGAAAAATAAAAAAGACATCTGGAGAGGATGACATCTGTCTATTATTAGATATACGGCAAGAAAAAGTATTTATTTCTAACCAAAACTTCCATTTTGTTTGTTGGTGTTCGTGACTTACCGCGTAGTTATGTCAATTTTATCATCGCGTGTAATAGCCGGGTTCTTCTCAAGCGAGTTA